AGGAGGAAATTGAGCAAAAACAATATGTAAACCATTTTCTTCGGTAAACATAAATATTGTGCCAAGAATGCCAGCAGGACAAGGGTTAAAGAGTATAGCCTGGGTACCATCCTACTTGTATGCCGGGGCTCCCACACTCGCTTCCCTTACAAGTTGTTAGGGAAGCGAGACAACAAAATTTACAATCATTATCACATGGAAGTTGTTAGGGAAGCGAGTGTGGGAGCCCCAGCATACAAGTAGGATGGTACCCAGGCTAAAAAAGTAGACATGGTCCCTACGTACAATTTTGCTCAAGTAGACCAGAAGTCTGAAGTCACTGAACACAAGTTTGGGTGCAGTACTGGATTGTTTGCTCCAGCTAAGCCCTAAAAAGGCTGCCTGGCTACATATTCAAATAAAGACATACTTAGTCATAGTAAACATTGTTGCTAGTATTCATTTTAGCAGCATTTTGGTGTACAATGTAGCTTATCTGTTACAGTAGTATGTTATGAGAAGCTGGTGATGCTTTGATGTCCTAAAAACACATTGATAATTCAGTATAGCTGTACCCCAAAACAATGTTCTTTCTTCTTTGTACAAACAGAAACTAGTAGTACTAGTACATGTAACCAAGAAATTAAATTGGTGTGGCCTTAAAGTAGCATACACATATACATGCATGTACAACATCATCACATTTACACTTCCTCATTTACATTAACACTGTACTTATGTACAAAAGATTACTGCCTTTTATAAAGACTGGTCAGATAAGTAGCTAGTATCATCCACCATCTCGCCTTACGTTGCTGAAGTACCAGACTGAGTACGGACCGTGAGTACTTTTTTTGTCCCAGTTCTCATGATAGTTTCCGTGCCACAGAAGTTTTCCGTTGGTTGCATCTAGTTCCCATCTGTGTGCAGTCTTGTGTTCATTCAAACTATACTTCTGCATTTGAAATTTCAGCAGAAGAGTCGCACTGGTCACATTTCTTATGGTTTCCCACATGTATGTGTTCTCTTGTGTCTGGCTAGAGCAGACCTGTAAGCCGTCCTGAATCCACAGTCACCACATACATAGGGTTTCTCTCCAGTGTGTTTAGCCATGTGTTGGACTAAATCACTTTTCAGTATAGTAGAATAGTTACACTGGTCACATTTATAGGGTTTCCCATCTGAATGAGTTTTCTTGTGTGTGGAAAGGTGAGATCTGTAAGCCGTCCTGTATCCACACTCTCCACACATGTAGCGTTTCTCTCCAGTGTGTTTGCCCATGTGTTGGTCTAAATGGCTTTTCCGTACAGTAGAATAGTCACACTGGTCACACTTAAAAGGTTTCACACCGGTATGTTTTCTCATATGTATAGATAGGCTAGACCTGTAAGCCGCTCTGTATCCACACTCCTCACACATGTAGGGTTTGTATCCGGTATGTTTAGACATGTGTTTTGCTAAATGACACTTCTGTGCAGCAGAATAGTCGCACTGGTCACATTTAAAGGGTCTTACACCTGTATGTATCGTCAAGTGTAGTGCAAGGGTAGACCTGTAACCCGTCCTATACCCACACTTGTCACACATGTAGGGTTTCTCTCCAGTGTGACTGTTCATGTGTTGTTCGAAGTTGCATTTCTGTGCAGAGGAAAAGTTACACTGGTCACACTTGTAGGGTTTTTCTCCTGTATGCGTTCTCATATGTATAGATAGGCTTGAGTTTTTATCTGTCCTATAATTACATTCCGTACAGGCAAAGCGTTTGTCCACAGTACGTTTCACCACAGCCTTATCCATCTTCTGTGTACGGCCCTGCACACGGGCGCGCGATTTCTGTTTTCTGTTGTTTTTCTTGTTCCCAGGGTGTACTGTTGGAATCTCGCAGCTTCTCTCAGCCATTTCTAAAAACTATAACAACAAAAAAGAATTAAAGCAGGCTGACATGATAACATACCAAGCATACACCACAATTCATCCTACTAGAGGTTTTACAAGTGACGTTAATCCTTACATGGCTTCACCTTGTATCAATACTAGCACATATCCCTGTGTAAATTTTGTCAAACTTTCCTGTTCCAGTTAGAATTTAAAAATGGTGTCATCAATTCAAAGTCAATCGTATTGACGTAAAGAGAAGCAATAGCCTTTTATTAAATATCTACATGCCGTGAACACGACAGCAAAACACTAGAACAAAAATTAAATGATGTCCCGATTTGGCAGTACTGAACTTGACTGTTCAAATTGTTGACTTTTCAACTACATTTGTAGTGTAAAGCCTTTTGTCTGATTAGTAGGTCACAGCAAGTAATTTTTATGGATGACATCAGCACACGCATTAATTTTTAGCCTGATTTCAGAGAAAAACATGAAATTTTGTTGTCCTTTGACAAACTGGTCTGTCACCATGCCAAAACATGGATGGCAGATAAATATGAAGAGAGGAGACAAGAAAAGGCTCTGATTTAATGTTTAATGTCTTATACTTGGTGCAGTGATGTACATGTATTTCATTCCTTTTATATGTGATGTTCCCACTGAATCAAAACCATTTGTACAATCATTTGAAACTTATATTTTTCAGTGCCAAATGGATATTGTAATAATACTGTTGGCAGTAAACTAATAAGCACAATATAGGTGGTATCATTTCTTTTTTAACGACTCACTATATGCGCTATGATGTAAAAATTTGAAAATGCAGGAATATTTTTTTGGGGGGGGGGGCGCCTAGGTTTTTTTCCGACCTATTGCATTAGATTTGGAGTCTGTGGAGGATGTCATCCATAAAATTTACTTGCTGTGGCCTTTTATAATATGTTCAGAAACCCACAACCGACTAGCCTGCGTACCATCCTGGTTTGGTTAAGTTTACATTTACGTCCACTCCCACAGTTGTCCATGTGGCAGCGGACGTAAACTAACCAGGATGGTACCCAGTCTAAAAACCTATTAAAATCACCATTCTCACTTTTGAGGGCTTTTCCGTAAACCCCTTTTTGACATACATTTTTCACAAGGAGCCTACAAAGTTTACGTTAACGTTACTTCAGGAGGCGTTACAAGAGAGATCTCATTCTGGTTCTGTCTGTTGCATCAGCATCAACCAATGATCATAGATAACTTACATGTCTCACCTGTGTGTTCCTATATGTAGGAATATAGGCGTTGAATCGCCTGCACTAAAAAACGTCTTTCTTCCTGCAGCTGATCAAAATGGAGGACAAGCGCAGCGCATTGCTTAGGTTAAAGGTCAAAAAGTCATACCTGATTACCCGAATGGAACCGCAGCTGATCGAGTACACTGTAACGTTATATGTCACACTGATGTTCGATCGTCGAGGGTATTTCAACCGGTTTGAAACCTGTCTTACTTCAGCTTGCAAGTGTGGGCGCAGACATGCTGGGTCACGCTGCTTTAACCGATTGCCATGCAGTGCAGAGAAACTCTTGCCGCACTTTTTTTTACAGTACATGTAAATTTCAATAACCAAATATGGTTTAAAGATTGGAAGGTAACGTTATATAAAAATGTTTTTTATGTGAATACCGAATACAACCCAAGACACTCTATTTCCTAGCCAGGACTTCTAAATAAACAACGTAATTGTTCCTGTTAGTTATAAATGCACGCGCACATGTGTTCTTTTAGCAAATAAAGCAATTAGGTGAACATCCAATCAGGAGCCACATCTCTAATTAGACACACCTGCCCCTGTCAGTGCATTTTGGCCTTAGAGCAGTCCAAAATCATACAATTTTAAGGGGCATGCCGAAAGTTCTATTCAATTGTTGTTGGTAGATATATAAAACATACCGATTTGGGTGTAATACTAGGTCTCCAGGACCCCAAATGTACAGATTTTGTCAGAAAATGGAAAAAAAAATTTAAAAGCCTGTATTAAATAGCCTGGAAGTTGCTGTTGCTTTTCGACGTAGAATGGAATAAAGACGCTGCCTGCGAATCTCAAGCAATGCGGCAAAGGAGAGAGCTTACATGGCTCTTGTAAGACCCTCCTTAGAGTACGGCTGTAGTGTCTGGGATCCCCACACCAAGGACCAGGTGAGTAGGGTGGAGATGGTCCAGCGTAGAGCTGCCCGTTTTGTCAGCAATGACTACAGACGTACAAGCTCTGTTTCAACTATGTTGCAAAACCTGGGCTGGCAGTCTCTGGAAGTACGTCGGAAGATCGCCCGCCAGGTCATGTTTTATAAGATTATACATAATGCTGTCTCCGTCCCACACTCAACCAGGATTGTCCCGGTGGCTCGATGCTCCCGCCGCATCAATCACACTCAAACATTGCAGGCCATCGCGAGCAGAACCAACTTCTACAGGCTCTCGTTCTTCCCCCGTACCATCAGGGAATGGAACGAACTTGAGCCTGGTGCGGTGGAGGCGGGGTCTCTCGCCCAGTTCAAATCTGAACTGGCGAGGACCCTGCTGCATTGAGTCACCCCATCATGTCTTGTATATATGTAAATATTACTAACGCACTAATGCACTTGTCCTGTCTTTAGCACACACAAAATCAGTTGTCTTATGTTCCTTTCTCAGTTATCCTTGTTTTTCCCTTTGTTTTTTATGTACCGGGCACAATTGTTACTAACAATATTGCGTAACGACTGCCAATAATACTACTCTGTAGTGCTGGGCAGTAACGAAGAAGAAGAAGACATTCGCTGGAAGGAGCTATATATCATGCGTCAATTTTGTCGGTTGTCTGCGGCACATCGGAGTTTCCCGTAGCGAAGTTTACACGGTTTTGTACTGATCGATGTACTAGCAATGCTGAAGGAGATATAAAAGTCACAAAAGGGAGGAAAGTGTTGGGTACAGTCTCCTTCGCAAACTTGTAGGGCAATGGATTTATTTTTTTTCGGGCAACGAGACAAGGACTATACATCAAGATCGATTTTGTCCAAAGTGTCTAGGGCCACGGGCTACTGAATTATGTTTGCCTGAAGGTTTGGGTCACAACATTTTGCAATTTGCAATTGCACACTAACTTTTCCCACTGCACGCCTATTGGATCAGACTACTGTATAAGTACATAAGAACACCATGTGAGAACACTATGTAAGTACTAGTACATGATGAGACGGAGTACCCACTGCCACTCATGCCCGTAGCCAGGATTTTGAATGGGGTGGTTCTTCCCACTGCTTGATGAGGGGACCTCGAGCGCCGAAGGCGCGAGGTTCCTAGGGGGGTCCGGGGGCATGCTCCCCCGGAAAATTTTGAAAAATGAACCTTCTAAAATGGCATTTCGTGCATTTTTGAGAGGATTTCCAAGAAAAAATCAGAGATAGATTTCTATTCAATGACAAAGGGAGCAGTTTTTCTACATAAAATGTGGACCAAAAAGTGGACCTTTACATAAAATGTGGACCAAAAAGTGGACCTTTACATAAAAAGTGGACCAAAAAGTGAACCTTTGAGCCTTGTGGGGGGGTTCTTCCGAACCCCCCCTGGCTACGGGCATGCCACTTCGATTCTTCGTATTCATCCGACCCGACACTTACGGATCGCGGAGCACGACGGAGACTGGCTAGAGGACATAGCGGGTAATGGGTGAATGTGGGGGCGGCTAAGGCCAGTATTAACTGGCTTGTTAGCTTGATATTTTTAAAAACAAACCCAGCCGCCCACCCACTCACAAAGCACTCAAGAGAACCTGGGACTAGTCACGAGACTTCGTTTAAACCTCCTTGCCATCATAAGGACGATCCAGGGAGTGCGCAAATTATGGGAATAGGTACGACATTAATTTTTTTATTGTATTCCAACATTTCGTGACTAGAAATGGTGAAGCCACAAGTTATATGAACTTATTTTATGCCACAACCAACGCAGAGGACAAATACAGGACAAGACAATACTACTCATTTTTACTTGAGCTAAAGTGAGGAAAGTAGTGCCTTTTCCTAGGGCACAAGATCGGTGGCATGTCAGGACTCGAACCCGAGACCTCTTGGTTCTGAGTCGAGCACACTGCGGTTACGTCACATGACCCCACGGTTGCTTTTTTTATCAGCCATTAAACTGAACAAATTCATATTGAAAGAGCAGGTTGTATACAAAAATATGTTTGGCGAGTTGGTGAGTTTGGTTGAAATACAGCAGAAGAAAAACAAGGACAAAGATTACTTATACTATGTACAAATCCACGTTTTTATTTGTCTTCCCATACAGCTTTAACCTTACAGTGTGTGCGTTGTGTGCGATATATTTGCCTCTTTCCCTGTTCTGACATGATTAAACATTCTGATGATTTTACACTTGGAAAGTTTTTTACATCAATTACCCGGACTTAATTCACGTAAATCAATCATGTAACAATCAACACTGTCTGTATGACAGGCCAATTGAATTACTCTCCATTGTCATTTTCAATCCTCAATGCACTCTAGACCTGAATAACAATGATCAAAATGTTTCACAATACTCTCTGTCACAGTTCATGTGACTTGTAGTCAAGTTATCTTCAGGAATTGATCAAAAGTTCATTATGCAGACAATACTAGTGGGTAGTACTGCAGTTAGACATGTTAGAGATGCAACTCCTCTAGGGGAAAAACCAGTTTTTCAATGACATCTTCATATTGAGATACATGTCTATGGGACACATCTGTAGGGTTCCAGCCTGCCGCATGGTGTACCTTTTTCTGACACGGGGCACAACTACACGTGAATGGTCGGACCTTTTTTTCCACCCCTAAACAGTCCAGACTGGACCGTTTTTTCCACCAACCCCCAACAGCACTCTATAGGCCAAAGAAAACAAATATCACTCTGGTTTAGAGATGACACCTTCCTGCATGAGGAAGTCGAACAGTTTTCTAGTTTTGTTGACATCAATCTTGAGTAGCTGCCTCGCCTGTGCCAGCCGCAGACCTCCCTGCCTGTCAGCCTCCCTCTGTAAGATGTCCTTGTACTCAAAGAAAGCCTCTGGGAGGAACCGGACATTGGCACACATCTGGTAGACAGAGTAGAGAATATTGTGGTTATTGATTTGTTTCCATTAAACTTTAAGAAACGTTAGTTATTTTTAAGGGCATTAAATCCTACAGTGTAATTCAAAATAATCATACTGTATATTTTTTAACCTCTAGTTTTTGGTGTTGTTTTTTTGTTTATTTATTTTTTATTCTACTCACATATACTTATTGAGTATTGGGCAAAAAGCACAGATTACTTACTATGTGATACCTTCTACTCGACCTCTAGTTTGGTGGTTTATTCCATAATATTTCTTTTTTGTTGGTACATGTACATGATACATATTTGCGGGAACCAATGTTACTACGGTAACCGTATGATGTATATTGACTATGGTTGTCTTTATTGACTGTGTTTGTAAGACTTGTAAGCTCCACTATAAATCAGAATCAGTCTGTTACAATCAGTAAAGTACTGGAAACACTCCGAAAAGTTTTAAATACATACTGTACCTCTTTTTCAGCTTCAGTGAGCTTATCGTACCCTGCAAACTGTGTGAGGTCCAAAGGTGGAGCACTTCTACGAGCTGATGAAAAATGAATACAAGTACTATAAGAACATTTTTGTATAAATAATTATTATCATTCAATACACTGTACAACATCAATTCAGACATACAAGATGGTCAGCAAATCATATTATGAAGGTAGACTGAGCAAAACAATCCCACCTACTCTGAAAATGGCCAAGACAACTCAAATAAAACAATTCTAAATGCATGAATCCCCCCCCCCCAAAAAAAAAATATGGGGGGTATTTGCCCACTCTACATTCATACCAAATTTCTGGTCATTTGGCCCCAAAATGGAGTCATTTACCAAATGATAGAGAAGAAGAAAGAGGAGGGGGAGAAACATGTCGTTGACTTTTGAGTAAAAACAAAATATATTTCATCCATGTAAAAATGAAATAAACATACTAGTCAAGAGTTTCAGTTACAATGTAGGACTGGTATAGAGAATAAGCAGGACACTGACCTGTGGATGATAGAGGTAGAAAAGGGGCAATACTGGGATTGCCATCCCTGCAAGAAAAAATAGCATTGCAAAAAAAACAAAAAAACATTTTACAGACATACAGAATATAGATGAACATTTGTCCATAACAATAACTCTCTCTCTCTCTATCCAGTTTAAAGTCTTTTTTGAAGAACTGTATGCACATAAATTTTGAGAGAAGAAAGTCACAACAAGTGATGGAAAACCATTACTCCTCAAGTAGAAAATATCATTGAATACAGCATTTTTTAGGTTTGTAACATACAAAAAACACTGTATGATCCAACGTTGATAGTCTCATGGAATCATCAAAATTTTCCTATTTGAAAATACCCACACCAACATGCATGCACAATGTAATATCTTGAGCTGACAAGTTTATCAATTACATGTATATATTATCCATAATGTTATTCTATTACTTACAGTGATAAATCATTGTAGTAGTTAATAATGATATGAATCTTATTGCATGTTCTTGCCCAGATGGGTTGAATACACAAATGTGACCAAATGTGAAAAACATTGCATACTGGAATGCTATATTCTAAATTAATGCTAAGTGCTAGGAGTCTACATGTATATATTACAACATTACTGTACTATATACTACCTATCATCTACTGTTAGTTGCCCTTTCTTCTCTCTCTTTGAAACATCTAATAGGCTGGTAAGCAATGACAATATGAAGCATGACTCTACTAGTAACTTAGTCTACATGTACTGTTATTAGTACTCACATGTGGGCCTGGCGATGCAGCCACTGTTGACAGGCAAACTCATCCTGAAAGAGATATGGAGTCATTTATTTCTGAGTCACTTACAATGAAGTGCCATGTAATAATAGGAGGCTGATAGAATATCTAAGGAAATGGATGAAAGGGAGATGGGGCGCTACTGATGAAATTGGAAGAGCTCACTGAAGAATGAGATTATCATTGAGTATTCAGCAAACTTTTCAAAATGTAACAGATGATGCCTTAAAAAACAGACATTATTATAGTAGAGTCTTGGTCCACAATGATTAATATTGTATATTCTACAAAAATTGGTAAATTTTGGGTCAGTGGTCTCTGGTTGCTACGGTTATGGATATTTAAAATGGCAAATTTCAGTACTTTATAAAAACTAAACAAGCTTAAGGTATGTCTGAGGCCTTTCTGAGAACTACTGGTATATATGAGAACAAGAAAACTTTAAAGTTTCCAAACACTCTGGTGGTGACATTAGGCAAATTAAAGGGAAGCTTTTTGACTTATACAAGACTGGGCAACCAAAGTACTCACGATGGTCAGATTTGGGCCCAAAAGTCCCACTCCGCTACTAAGGAGATCGAATCCCCCGAACCCGTGAATCTTGTTCGATATGACGTCATTCGAATAGAGCGGGCGTTCGATCTGGGGTTACCCGCGGTCATTTACAGTAAAGCCGCTACAACCGGCTACTTCAAGCCTTTTTTTACTTGGGAACCACGGAACAGGAAAAATCCACCTTTCCACAAATATGAACCGTTTTCAAAACATTACATCTATGCCGTGATTTTTTTGTGGATATGTAACATGTAACGAAGCTACTGCCGTCATCGTGGGTGACCTTGAAGGTCAGAATTCTTGTTGACGCTGTTATAAAATCCAGGTCCCCATATCCAAGTGGCACAGCATGCGTGCAAACATGGTATTTCAACCATTCCCAAAAATCGCTCAAATTACCTCATTGAGGGCTTGTTTGGAAGAGGAACGATTTCCGCAGATTTCTGTCTTAGGGATTTTTTAGATATGGCCGCGATTATGAATTATCTGTATTTAAAGTTAAAACACTGCGTTTTTAGCTCTTCTTTTGACTGTAAGTCGAGTTTCAGTTAAAAAATAAAAAAATCCTAAGACAGAAAGTTTAAATTTACTGTAATATTTCTAAAAATTCAAAAATCTAACCTTATTTTTAATCTTCGGGGCCTCTTAAAATCAGTTGTTTGGTTCTCGTGAACCCTTTTCGAAATCCGAAATTGATCTCATTTGGAAGCAAATGTACACAAAGTGGAGCAAAGGCAGTGCAAGAATAACATTTGAGGTAAACAAAATCACTTATTACATTTTATTTTGACGAGTATTTACTCTCCAATTACTTTTGTTTATTTTCAAATTTTACCCGTTGCCCCCGGGCCGGCCTGGGACTCCCGCGCGGCCACGTTCGAACACGTTCTGTAACCCGATACCTCCCTAGTAATGCGACTTTTAGCCTAGCAACCGACCGCCGTGACTTTTGAAATCTAAACTTAGAACATATGCTCTGTTTAAAGATACTTACTGTATAGAAAAATATGTAACTATGTGTCTCCCCAAACGCCAAAGATCACTGAGTGCGCAGCTGCGAGCTGGTATTTTACCTATCAATATTGAAACTGGACGGTACCAGAGAATTCCTGAGGAAAATAGAATCTGTACCATGTGTGACCTGGATGAAGTAGAAAACGAAACACATTTTCTGTTTTACTGTCCCTTTTATGACGATCTTTGAGAAAATATGTTTCGTAAAATTTATACAAAATCACCTGACATCATATGGGAAAGTGATGAAAATAGAATTACATTTTGTAAGTGGCTCTTTAGCGAGGGTGTATCTGACCTAGCAACTTTCATTTATCGAGCGTGGGGGAAAAGAAGAAAATACCTGTATTCATAACACATCAAAAGTTGTCACTCTTTTTGTTACTCCTGCATGTCTGTTTTCTCTTATTATGTTTGATTTACCTTATGTACTTGTATTTATTTTGTGAGATCTTGGTTCATTATGTACAGATTTGTTTATTTGCATTTACGATCTGTTTTGAGTTCACTTATTTGTTTACCATTATTGTATATAGCCTACCTTTATTTATGTTCATATTTTGTTTGGATTCTGCTATCTGTACCTTTGATTCACTTTTGTTTATGTATAATTTATTGAATCGGTGTCGTATAAGCCCACACGGGCTGGGCGCGGGATAGCGCACGACACGGAAATAAAGTCTCATTGACATTCCTTTCCTTTCCTTTCATTCATTCATTACCTCCATGAAATGTGTCATGGAGGTTATATTTTCAGTTGCGTTTATCCGTCCGTCCTTCTGTCTGTCTGTTGGTCAACAAGATAACTCAAGAACGCCTGGATGGATTGGTTTCATACTTGGTGTGTTGGTAGGGTGTGACAAAAACTGGAAATGATGAGATTTTGGTCCCCCTAGTGGCTTCCCTTGGTACTGCAGCGCAACTTCCGGTTTTGATATCTCGCGATCTGGACATGCTAGGGTCATGAAATTTTGATGGAAGGTAGCTCTCGTGCTTGGGAAGAAGTCATATGAGTTTGGGTTCCCTAGCGGCTTGTTCTGGAACTGCAGGGCACTTTCTGGCGAAATGTTTAAAAGCCAATAAGTCCAGACAGGAACAACATATTTTCATTATTTTTGGTGTGTAGGTAGCTGAGAGAGAGATGTACATAATTAAATGCAAATTATGCAAATGAGGACTTTATTTGAATAATTAATGAGGAAATTCTATAATTACAGTGTTTTACATTATCTCGCGATCTGGACATGCTAGGGTCATGAAATTTTGATGGAAGGTAGCTCTCGTGCTTGGGAAGAAGTCATATGAGTTTGGGCCCCCTAGCGGCTTGTTCTGGAACTGCAGGGCACTTTCTGGCGAAATGTTTAAAAGCCAATAAGTCCAGACAGGAACAACATATTTTCATTATTTTTGGTGTGTAGGTAGCTGAGAGAGAGATGTACATAATTAAATGTAAATTATGCAAATGAGGACTTTATTTGCATAATTAATGAGGAAATTCTATAATTACAGTGTTTTACATTATACTATGTAACCTAGGGCAGGCGGAACTTCAACAGATACTAATTATGCAAATGATGACCTAATTTGCATAATTAATGTGAAAATTCTATGATTTCGTAATGGTGAATGATGAGAATGTCATACTTGGGACATCTGTAAGTTAATCAAAAGTTAACATACATCACGATGCATATATCATGTTAATGCAGAGGTCATTTGAACAATTAAAGAAGAAATTTACATTTACATATCAAGATCATATTTCATGGAGGTATGAGATCTCGGAATTCTAGTTCATTCATTCATTCATTCATTCATCCATTCATTCATTCATTCATTCATTCATTCATTCATTCATTCATTCATTCATTCATTCATTCATTCATTCATTCATTCATTCATTCATTCATTCATTCATTCATTCATTCATTCATTCATTCACTCTCAACAAATCACAAGCATACTAGTGAGGAGATCCACCACCCCCCCAGAGTGGGCCAACATTAACACATTGAATGCATTTGGTTTAAATAACTTGAATAAGTTTTATAGCACTATTCAATTTACTAGACTAAGTATTCTCTGTCTTTAGTCTATCTACATGTAGGGGCTTCAGTTAATTTCAGAAATATTTGCAGCTGCGTAATGCAAAAAGAAAGAAGAGGGAATGTTAGACCTTCAATGTAATTTCCCACCATATACTTGCGCACTAGGGAGAGAGTCAAATACAAGTTGTGTTGCTATACAGAGTGTTTGTCTCTTAATGTGTGGAATTCTGGTAAGACGAACATTAACTGTGAACAATGATGTTTATACAAAATAATGTAGTACTGTGACAGTAACAGTTGTACCTGCATGTTACTGAGGACATCAGTCAGCATATGTCTCCTTCCAACCTCCTCCTCTCTACGCCGTCTCAGTTTCTCATACAGGAGCCCCGCTGGAGGTGGACATTAAGGAACAAGAATTCAGCTAATGCCAGTTTTATATCATTTTACACGTATTTTTAAAAGGGGGACTAATTTTGTCCTGATACCATTATTGTGGAGGCCATTTTACAATCATGGATATCAAATACTAATAACCTTTCTTGTTCTTCCAATAAAAGTCCTGGCTACGGCATGCAGTTGCAGGTCATTCCCAGAACTGTTGTTCCATACTCAGGTTCCATTGTACTCAAGGACCTACATGTATATTAAGTCCACAAAAATTACATAAATTATTCATTTCTTTTACTCTAAGACACATATCTTAAGATTCTTTTGTGTTGTCATGTTTTCAATCTTACCTCTAAAGGTAGAAGTTCCAGCCTGTCTCAATTCCTGTAGTCTTCTGACCTCTTTCCGCATGTCCTGCTCCACTGAAATTTTGAAAGATTTGAGAACATTTCTGAAGCCAATGTTGTACCTCCAGAAAACATACAGCCTGTTTAGAAATTTACTTGAAATTTAATTACATGTACATGTACTACCTGAAGGTTCTGACACCACTTCATGGCCAATTTGTGTCCACAACTTGCCATCTATATATATATATATTCTGCACAATTCCTAGCTTATTTCCATGAACAATTTCATCAGGATGGCAGGAGACAGTATTTATTAACTTAAAAGAGGTGGTTCTTTACCTAGCTACTGACAGTACAAATGAAAACCAGTCATTGTTACCCTGAAGAAGGTGACTGGAAGTTACTGAAATGTAGGATATGCCCTTGTTGTTGAAAAAGAAAACTTATACATTGCCAATTCCTTATTTTTCTGAGTAAACTTTTGAGCTTAAACATCCTATAGTATAGGGCACAGAAAAAAATATGGTTAGAAGTGTGCCTAGACTACATTTTTTGTAGGTATACTATGATGTACATTTTACTATTTTCTTTGGGCTGTTGTTGAGACCATGCAATGTCACGTACAATCATTATTTGTATTTAATGACATGTGTTGGTAAAAGTATTTTCTACATGTATGTTCATCTGTGAGAACCAGACTAGTACCCAAGGGAAAATACTGCTTGATTAAAGTTGGGAAAAATGTCATTAGACCCATTCCTTCTAAGCTGCAGAAAATGGTTTCAACTTACAAATCAGCCCTTCCATGAAGCTTTCAAACTGTTCTGGGAGGAAGAACTCCAGGAAAGGTCTGAGTCCATCCTTCATGTCCCGTACTGGCCTGATGTACCGCTTGTCATACACTGGAGGGGAGAGGGAAGCGCAGATATCAGAGACAAGCTGGGAACCTTCCAACAATCTACATTGTGTTTAAAGTTAAAACTTTAGGTCCAACACAAAAAGTTCTTTTCCTCAGTAGACTGACCCAGTGGGACTTGTCACATGGCTTCTCTGAAGTGTGACGTCAACACTGGGTCAAAGGTATCTGGTACACGATGTCAGCCCCTGTCACGGTTAAGTGAAGGGGGAGATGCGTCACTGGGCCAACATCGTCAACCAGCCTTTGACCCAGTGTTGACGTCACACTTCAGAGAATCTATGTGACAAGTCTCACTGAGTCAGTCTACTGAGGAAGACCAGAGTGACTGGTTGAAAGCTAGGTGAGGGAACTTTTTGTGTTGGACCTAAAGTTTTAACTTTAAACAGTCATGTAACTACCAACACAGATGAACTTTCATGATAATCTACAATATCAAACAATTAAGTAAACTTGATACATGTATTAATCATTTCATCTTCCTACATTAATGAAATGCCCTTGTGCTGAAGGTACCGATTTAGAAAGTTAAGTTAAAGGGGAGGTCCAATACTTTCAGTTTTGGGGCCTTTCTACCCAAAATCCTATTTGTAAATGGTGATTTATTGGTTTCTGCCAACCCCGCACATATTTGCCGTGATATCTGACCCGCTCGATGTTTCGCGGCTAGCGCCAGATTGTCCGCTAGGCGGCGCTGCGACTGGATCTGTGACGTAAAAGGTTTCATTGGAACAGAGTTAGTACACAAGAAGAGCTTCCACTGGCGGGTGTGTTCAGACCATTTCGAGCCTGGATGCTTCACGCGAACGTCAGTCTCAATTCCTTTCTGTTGGGCGTATGGGCGGTCGATATGAATAAATCCGTCAAAGGGTCGAGTAAGTTGCAATGTAAACAAACTGCGGTATTCGCGGTACCGACCTGTTAGATACAGGCTCCTGCACGCCCTGCCGGATCAGATCCCACCGAAAAATCAGCAACGTTCGGAGGTTTGCCGGGTGCAGAATCACATCGAAGTCAGGGTGGTTTCTAATGCATGGGTGGTCTGTACCGACGTTCTTTTCAGTGTCTGTCAGCTCTGGCAGGTCGTGACAACAAACACTCTCCCGTACAGAGGGCATTTCCAGGCAGTTTTTATTGTCTTCGTTTCCACACCGGCACCAATCCCGGTTCTCCAACCCTCTGTCTCCACATCACCTCCATCCCAAACGTTCTCATCGCCTGGATCGGGGTCAGAGTCACCACTACTGTCCGTCTGTGGCTAAAAACGGAAGGGTTGCACGCCCGCCATTGTTGTTTACGCTAGTAGCAGAATGAAACCTTTTACGTCACAGATCCAGTCGCAGCGCCGCCTAGCGGACAATCTGGCGCTAGCCGCGAAACATCGAGCGGGTCAGATATCACGGCAAATATGTGCGGGGTTGGCAGAAACCAGTAAATCACCATTTACAAATAGGATTTTGGGTAGAAAGGCCCCAAAACTGAAAGTATTGGACCTCCCCTTTAAGTAAGCACATTTGATTTATTTTATATTATATTTCATTTAAAATTTATTCATAGGCACACAAGAAAAATCTTTTCTTACTTTGCTGTTTTTTCAGATTTATCAGTCCACAGTCCCGTGCAATTCTGGGAAATAGAAAATAAACAAGGTCTATAATGTTGATTCAGAAGCGTGCCAAACAGCGCAAAACTGCAAAATTTAATGCAAGTTCAATGCTTTGACACTAAAGAAAGATAACAGCCGCAGTATGCCACTGTGACAATATTAATTGCAAAATAATTCAAACATACAAGTTAAAACAGCATTATCAGTGAAGAGTTACATTTTGTATGACAACAACATTTTGCTGTGCCACTGGACACCTCCACTAATTCTAATTAAAGTACATGTACATACATCTAACTCTGCATTATATTTTGTGTTTTTGCCAAAATTGTGTTGCTCAGAAAAAACAAACACAAACCAAAAACAATATTTCACATTCTTGGCAATGACAATATAAACTGAGTTATTACCATATGCGTGTATCCTTCAGATTAAGTATACTTAAACTACTAAATAACAAAACTTAAACGTAAAATAATATAGAAAATACATAATTTTGCACTGTTCAACTCACTTTTTTCTTCTACACCTTTCCTTGAGTTGAGATTGATAAATATCTACTGCAGCAAGCTTTAATGCTGAAATGGAATCACGTAGAGGATTAAGATGTTGAGAATATAAAAAAATATAGTCAAGGTTCATTACCATCAGCTCTATCTTTCTATTATAATAAAAACCTTTTTGCTGGGATGTTGTAGCCTCTAACAGGCATTGGGAAGCAGCTGGAAAGAGTAGAGTTTAATATCTAATTTTGTGAATTGTAAAAACAACTCAATTCAGACTTGAGGTCTGCTAGTTGTTTGAATAAAGATTGATTGATTGATTGATTGATTGATTGATTGATTGATTGATAGAAATTGGCTAAATAGACAGTCACATGAAATAATATAAGGGGAGTTGGTCCACTGTACAAGAAACTGTTCTCTTATCACTGACGTATCATCTGTCTATTTGGCCCATTTCTACTCTTTCCAGCCCCTTCGCTAGGCCTGTAGAGGCTATGATGTTGGGCAACCCTGGCCTCCCTTTCCAGAATAGATGTACATGTATCACAATGGACCTGCACAGATGTCAGGACCTTTACAGGATGATACCTGACAGCATTTTTTTTTGGTTTTTGGCAAGTAAACAAGAAGAAGAAGAACCATCGCTACATTTAAGTCCATGGCACCAAGCAGGATGTCAATTATCTTCCATAGTCCTTTATCTGCTGCTGTCCATTAAGAATGATAATAATGCTAAGTGGATGCTAAGAATTATTGAATTGCATGATGAAGAACTAAAAAAAATCTTGGATGAATATGGATCTTTCTACAGCATTTCATTCACCTGATAAGGCAGTTTCATTATTATTTGTGGCATATGTAACTTAAAACTGTTTCTTTATATAATGCAAGTAATTAAAGGTACAATTGTCATGTACTGATCTACATGTTGTATGAACTGCAAGATTAATTATTTCTACATGGCACATGAAATATTAGACATTTACCTCTTAGTAAATCATCATCATCATCAAGGAAATAGATGTCTTTGATGTCCCATTCTGCAAAGTTGTTGAACTCCTTGAGAGACAATAGAAGACAAAGACGATGACTGTCATGTAGTAAACCTGTCATGCCCTAAGCCCCTGTCACACGTAGTCGAATATTAATGTGGCATCCAAATTTCCCCCAACCACTGGTTAGGAGTATAGTACTCAGGAGCTGGTGTTTGGGAGTAGGTCAGCAGTGTTTGGGAGTGTGTTCAAAGGTCAAGTTTTACTGAGATTTTACTTAAATTTGATTCAATTCATATAGAAAGGTTAGGCATGGCTTTAGTCTGGTCAGACTGCTCCTGAACTTCAGCCAGCCTTGGAGGGAAGGTTCTGTACAAAATGTATATCACTGTATGTGTGACAGGGGCTTTAGTCACCTGTAATAACTATATACCTGTAACCTGCATGAATGTGTAGAATTGGCAACTGTAGAATATGACAAACAATTACACATGTGTATAATACTACAGGACTGGTATATTCTGTATCCTCTTTGCTTTCCTTACAAGGCAAGTTTCAGGATGTACTACTGTAGCAGTGACTGTAACAGTAGTCCACTGGCAGTAGTGAGTGTTCTGACCTCTGTGAAGTCTCCCCTGGCAGGCATGTACCCTGCCATCTCCACAGCACGGGCAGAGTCTGCTGCAGGCCGCGGGGGGGTCCTCACTCACTACACAGGGCAAGGGTACAATCAATCAATCAATCAATCAATCAATCAATCAATCAATCAATCAATCAATCAATCAATCAATCAATCAATCAATCAATCAATCAATCAATCAATCAATCAATCAATCAATCAATCAATCAAATACAATTGGGATATTGCAGTTTCTTTTAAACCAAAATATAATGTAGGTAGCAATTTTGTGTGGTAAAACACAATATGTACATAGGGGGGATACAAACTAACTAACCATGCACATAGGATTGTGTTGTTACCGCAAAAGTGCCAACTAAATTTGGCTCCGCTACACAGAGCATGCAGCAAGAAGCAGTACTCCAGTCAGAATGTCTGAGGAAGATGTCTGACTGATATTGAAACAGAAGCAGGTTGAAGACTTGACTAACTGTGTAATAGAAAACTCCAATACACAATAACTGTATCTGATTTCATCACAACATCCTTTGGCACCATTAGATAATACAATGCACGATAGAGTGATGAAAAATCTATATATCTATATAAGTGCTAATTAAGAGTAAAACTTACATTTGGCAGTGACTGGACACAGCTGTTCTGTATTCTTTGGTTCTTCAAAAACTACACAGAATATAAAATGTTTTCTTTCAATAAACATACTGTGTGACCATGATTAATATAATCTGTAGTGTGATGACCTATTTTCATCAAGACAAGAGATGTGTATGTATACAGGCACATGTACAAACTACATGACATTTTCTCATCACTGACTCAGGTGTAAATGAGTTCCCAATTCAATTAGGGGTGTCAAGACATAGAGCTGCACGGAGGTCCCATGTCAAAGGGACACACTTTGAGCATGTTAAAGATCCCACCACTTATCAAAAACAGTAGGGGCCCTTCCTGGTGTGAGTGGTTCAAACCTTACAGTCTGGTCTCAGGGTTGACATCTTGAAGAGGTGATAGTCACCTGTTATGTTAATTCTTCCAGAAATGTGGTAAATCTTAATAAACATAACCAAATAAATACCTGGTAGTGGTGGCCTGGCCCTGCTGACATAGTACAGCAGGTAGTGAGATTCACATTCTGCTGCTGACTTGGTCCCCACATTGTTGGATATCTCCTGCCTAGAAATAAAGTTTGCAACAGAATCATAACACACTCCAAGTTGTCCTTCCTTTCCTTTCCTTTCCTTTCCTTTCCTTTCCTTTCCTTTCCTTTCCTTTCCTTTCCTTTCCTTTCCTTTCCTGGTAGCAATGTTGTTGTTGTTGTTGTCTTTGTTTAACGTCTAATATATCACTAGACGTGGTCTCTTAGTGCTGGTTTGTGCTTGGTTCAGTTTAGAGTCAATTGTCTCTCTAGGTATTTAACACTTGGTGACTTGTGCTTGTGTGATGCTGGAAGTGTTTCTAGGAGAGCACATCGATTGGTGCGTACTAGCTAGAGGGCTAGGTACATCTGCTTGTTTGCTCCATCAGGGAGACCTTCTCTCATTCCAGCAAGGAATGTTGCACTTAAATTAGGGGCTCAGTACTACACAGGTTTACTACTACATGTATATCAATAGCATATGACTCATGACCATACTGGCGTAGGTACGTCTTTAGACACGCAAGGAGACATCACAGGCTCTGTTGAAGGCCAGCAGAGTTAGGAGTAGGGTGGGGGTGGGCACATGAAAGTGAAAAGACCATCACATGACCCTTTTTTGTTGATGGTTAACTCACATGTGACAGTTAGTCGACATGTGACTGTTTAACCATCACCAGTCTAAAGCTGGCCTAAGGCCAATACCAATTTAATTTCTTGGCTAACGGATTCGCCCGGTTCATTTTTTTCTGATTTGCAAAAAAATAAAAAAATAAAATTCAGCTGCAAAATGCTCATATTTTTGCCCCTCAACAGTTGAAAAGTCCTTTTCTTCCTAGTTGTTACTGTAACAGTTATTCCATCTTTCAATGCAGTGGTATTCTTAAAAGTTCAAAATTCATTGTTTAAATTTTGAACCAGCCAGGTGTGTTGACTTCATGGCTCCTATCGTACCATCTTGGGCCATAATAGGATAATCTCCAAGCAGATCATACGGTGGCAAGGCAGTATCCATTGGCCAGAGG